GCAACACTGCTATTGTCAGGTGTTGCCAGATGTTGGTTCCTGTGTTTGTTTGTTTTATATGAAGGAAAATAAAACACTAATTGGAAACATTGTTAGAGTGTTTGTTGCTTTGACTGTCGAGTTTGTTTGTTTTACTGAAGAAGAAGCTACAGACAGACAGACAGACAGACAGACAGACAGATAGACAGACAGACAGACAGACAGACAGACAGATAGACAGACAGACAGGCAGATAATAGAGAGAAATCAGACAGGCAGGCAGAGTTAGAGAGTCAGACAGACAGACACATAGACAGAGAGACAGATAGATAGACAGACAGATTGACAGACAGACAGATAGACAGACAGACAGACAGATAATAGAGAGAAATCAGACAGGCAGGCAGAGTCAGAGAGTCAGTCAGACAGACAGACATATAGACAGAGAGACAGATAGACAGACAGATAGATAGATAGATAGACAGACAGACAGACAGACAGACAGACAGACAGACAGACAGACAGACAGACAGACAGACAATCACACAGAGGGTAAAACAGACAGACAGACAGAGAGCCAGAGGTCAACGACACCTTCACTACACTTGTCACTGACAGTGCCAACAGCAGGTGACGTCTGGCACTGTGTCCATCTGTCTGTCTGTCTGTCAAGTGGCACTCCTGCATTCTTAACCCCCGCATTGCCATCGGTAGCATAGCGTGTATGTCTGTCTGTCTGTCTGTCTGTGTGTGTGTGTGTGTGTGTGTGTGTGTGTGTGTGTGTGTGTGTGTGTGTGTGTGTGTGTGTCTGTGTGTGTGTGTGTGTGTGTGTGTGTCTGTCTGTCTGTGTGTCTGTCTGTGTGTGTGTGTGTGTGTGTGTGTGTGTGTGTGTAGGTATGTGTGTGTAGGTATGTGTGTGTGTGTGTGTGTGTGTGTGTGTGTGTGTGTGTGTGTGTGTGTGTGTGTGTGTGTGTCTCTCTATTTGACTGTCTATCTGTCTATCTATCTATTACATTGAGATATTTGTTTTAATTTGTTTTAATGTTTTAATGGTGTTTTAATTTGTTTTATTTTGTTTTAATGGTGTTTTAATTTGTTTTAATTTGATTTACTCTGTTTTAATGGTGTTTTAATTTGTTTTACTCTGTTTTAATGGTGTTTTAATTTGATTTACTCTGTTTTAATTGCCTTTTAATGGTGTTTTAATTTGATTTACTCTGTTTTAATGGTGTTTTAATTTGATTTACTCTGCTTTAATGGTGTTTTAATTTGTTTTACTTTGTTTTAATGGTGTTTTAATTTGATTTACTCTGCTTTAATGGTGTTTTAATTTGTTTTACTCTGCTTTAATGGTGTTTTAATTTGATTTACTCTGCTTTAATGGTGTTTTATTTTGTTTTACTCTGCTTTAATGGTGTTTTAATTTGATTTACTCTGTTTTAATGGTGTTTTAATTTGATTTACTCTGCTTTAATGGTGTTTTAATTTGATTTACTCTGCTTTAATGGTGTTTTAATTTGATTTCCTCTGTTTTAATGGTGTTTTAATTTGATTTACTCTGCTTTAATGGTGTTTTAATTTGTTTTACTCTGTTTTAATGGTGTTTTAATTTTGATTTACTCTTGCTTAATAGTGTTTTTTAATTCTTGATTTCTGTTTTAATGGTGTTTTAATTTTATTTTACCTGCTTTAATTTGGATTTACCTGCTTTTAATGGTGTTTAATTTGTTTTACTTTGTTTTAAATTTTGGTGTTTTTAATTGGATTTCTCTGTTTTAATGGTGGTGTTTAATTTTATTTTACCTTGTTTTTAATGGTGTTTTAATTTGATTTACTCTGTTTTAATGGTGTTTTAATTTGATTTACTCTGTTTTAATGGTGTTTTAATTTGATTTACTCTGCTTTAATGGTGTTTTAATTTGTTTTACTTTGTTTTAATGGTGTTTTAATTTGATTTACTCTGCTTTAATGGTGTTTTAATTTGTTTTACTCTGCTTTAATGGTGTTTTAATTTGATTTACTCTGCTTTAATGGTGTTTTATTTTGTTTTACTCTGCTTTAATGGTGTTTTAATTTGATTTACTCTGTTTTAATGGTGTTTTAATTTGATTTACTCTGCTTTAATGGTGTTTTAATTTGATTTACTCTGCTTTAATGGTGTTTTAATTTGATTTCCTCTGTTTTAATGGTGTTTTAATTTGATTTACTCTGCTTTAATGGTGTTTTAATTTGTTTTACTCTGTTTTAATGGTGTTTTAATTTGATCCCATTGTGAGTTTCCTTCTGTCGCATTACAAACCAACACAGTGATGCCACATTGAACAAACACCTGACGAGCCCCTGTAAGCCCACAAGTGAAGGGGGACTGTCCATACTTCCTCTCATAGAAAACGGGGTATGGGGGCTGGTTACATATACTTGTCACTACCTCTAAAAACCTCTTGATCTCTCCTGGTGCTTCAAAACCTCTCCTAGTGCTTCCAGACTTCTCCTAGTGCTTCCAGACCTCTCCTAGTCTCCTAGTGCTTCCAGACCTCTTCTAATGCTTCCAGACTTCTCCTAGTGCTTCCAGACCTCTTCTAATGCTTCCAGACTTCTCCTAGTGCTTCCAGACTTCTCCTAGTGCTTCCAGACCTCTCCTAGTCTCCTAGTGCTTCCAGACCTCTTCTAGTGCTTCCAGACCTCTCCTAGTGCTTCCAGACCTCTCCTAGTGCTTCCAGACTCTCTAGTGCTTCCAGACCTCTCCTAGTCTCCTAGTGCTTCCAGACCTCTTCTAGTGCTTCCAGACCTCTCCTAGTGCTTCAGACCCTCCTAGTGCTGACCTCTCCTAGTACTTCCAGACCTCTTCTAATACTTCAGACTTCTCTAGTGCTTCCAGACCTCTCCTAGTGCTTCCAGACCTCTCTAGTGCTTCCAGACCTCTTTAATGCTTCCAGACTTCTCTAGTGCTTCCAGACCTCTCCTAGTGCTAGACTTCTCCTAGTGCTTCCAGACCTCTCCTAGTGCTTCCAGACCTCTCCTAGTGCTTCCAGACCTCTCCTAGTGCTTCCAGACCTCTCCTAGTGCTTCAGACCTCTCCCCTAGTGCTTCCAGACCTCTCCTAGTGCTTCCAGACCTCTCTAGTGCTTAGACCTCTCCTTGTGCTTCCAGACCTCTCCTAATGCTTCAGACTCTTCTAGTGCTTCAGACCTCTCTGCTTCAGACCTCTCCTAGTGCTTCCAGACCTCTCCTAGTGCTTCCAGACCTCTTCTAGTGCTTCCAGACCTCTCTAGTGCTTCCAGACCTCTTCTAGTGCTTCCAGACCTCTCTAGTGCTTCCAGACCTCTCCTAGTGCTTCAGACTTCTCCTAATGCTTCAACACCTCTCCCAGCCCCTTCAAACCTTTTCTAGCCTTTAAACCTCTCTTGCTCCTCCAAACCTTCCCTAGCGCCTTTAAAACTCTCCTAGCCTCAAACCTTCCCTCGCGCCTCCACACCCCTCCAAAAGAGCCTCACCTTGGAGTCGATGCCGATAATGGCTGTGCAGTCTTCACAGGTGTTAGCGAAGACAGCCTCGTAGCACTTAATACAGTAAGGGTGGTCATCCTTGAGAACATAACGCTGACCGGTGAGAGATTCGTCACACTGCCAACAACAGAAATGGCCCGAGTGCCAATCTTTCGACATCGCCTTGGTGAACTCCCCGCTGAAAATGAGCTGTTGGAAGAAAGAGAGAGAGAGAGTTAGCTTTATTGAGAGGTATCTTTATATTGAGAGGTATCTTTATATTGAGAGGTAGCTTTATATTGAGAGAGAGAGATAGAGTGTGTGTTAATTTTAATAGTACAGGTCTTTTAATATCGCCTTGGTGAGCTCCCCGCTGAAAATGAGCTGTTGGAAGAGAGAGAGAGAGAGAGAGAGAGAGAGAGAGAGAGAGAGAGAGAGTTAGCTTTATGGTGGGGTGACAGAGAAAAATTAGCTTGATGGTAGGGTGACAGAGAGAGTTAGCTTTATGGTGGAGGCGTGGCAGAGGAAAACGACTCACACTATTTCCGTCTACCCCCACCTCACACCCCACCTCACCCCCCCACCCCCCTCTTATGATACCAAAATATCCACCCCCGAAAAGTCTGGCCTTATGTGAAGCTCACCCAACACCACCCACAACCCACCTGCCACCCACCAACCTACAACCAGCTACAACTACAACAACTACAAACATTCATCTACAACTATTGCCATCTACCACCATTACCACCCATCTACCACCATTGCCACCCATCTACCACAATTGCTAACCTGTATTCTCCTAACTACTAGCAACTATAACAATTGCCACACTTACAACCACAACAACCATCATTACTACTAGCATTCATCACTACCACCACCACTACCACCACCACCACCACTACCACCACCACCACCACCACCACCACCACTACCACCACCACCACCACCACCACCACTACCACCACCACCACACCATCATCACCACTACCACCACCACCACCCACCACACCATCATCACCACTACACCACCACCACCACCACCACATCATCACCACTACCACTACCACCACCACACCATCATCACCACTACCACCACCACCACCACTACACCATCATCACCACTACCACCACCACCACCACCACACCATCATCCACCACTACCACCACCACCACACCATCATCCCCACTACCACCACACCACCACCACCACACATCATCACCACTACCACCACCACCACACACACCATCATCACCACTACCACCACCACCACACCATCATCACCACTACCACCACCACCACACCATCATCACCACTACCACCACTACACCACCACCACCACCACCACCACCACCACCACCACCACCACCACCACCACCACCACCACACCATCATCACCACCACCACCACCACCACCACACCATCATCACCACTACTACCACCACCACCACCACCACACCATCATCACCACTACCACCACCACCACCACCACACACCATCATCCACCACTACACCACCACCACCACCACCACCACCATCATCACCACTACCACACCACCACCACACCATCATCACCACCACCACCACCACCACCACCACCACACCATCATCACCATCATCACCACTACCACCACCACCACAACCACCACTACTACAACCACCACAACCACCACACCACCACCACCACCACCACCACCATTACCACTACCACACCATCACCACCACACCACCACCACCACCACCACCACTACCACAACCACCACAATTACCACCACCACAACTACCACCATCACTACCACCACCACCACCACCACACCACCACCACCACCACTACCACAACCACCACAATTACCACCACCACAACTACTACCACTACCACCACACTAACTACCACCACCACCACCACAACTACAACAACTACCACAACTACCACCACCACAACTACCACCACACTAACCACCACCACCACCACTACCACAACCACCACAACTACCACCACACTAACCACACCACCACCACCATTACCACTACCACGCCTCATCCTCCACCACACTAACCACCACCACAACCGCCACTACTACCACCACCACCACCACACCACCACTACTACCACCACCATCACACTACCACCACCACCACCACAACCACCACTACTACACCACCACCACCACAACCACCACCACCACACCACAACCACCACAACTACCACCACCACCACCACCACCACCACCACTACCACCACTCCACTACCACCACTACCACCACCACACTACCACCACCACCACCACCACCACTACCACCACTACCACTACCACCACTACCACCACCACATAACACCACCACCACCATTACCACTACACGCCCTCACTATCACCACCACCTCCACCACACTAACCACCACCACCACAACCGCCACTACTACCACCACCACCACCACTACCACCACTACCACACCACCACCACTACCACCACTACCACCACCACCACCACTACACCAACTACCACCACTACCCATTAACACAAACAAACACTAATTAATCCCCTCAATATCAAATAATAATTAACATACAGTAATTATAAACAAAACTTTCAAAAAATAATTAAAATCATCTTCAATTAATTAGCTAAAAAAATATTAAAATTCATGTATAAATTCCTTCACATACATACATACATACATACATACATACATACACCAGTTACATACATCATATACATACACAAGTATACATAATGTGTATTTTTTTATGTTAAATCAATTATTTTTATAACTGGTATGATGACTTAACCCCTTGAGTATGATGATTTAACCCCTTGAGTATGATGATTTAACCCCTTGAGTATGATGATTTAACCCTTGAGTATGATTTAACCCCTTGAGTATGATGATTTAACCCCTTGAGTATGATGATTTAACCCCTTGAGTATGATGATTTAACCCTTGAGTATGATGATTTAACCCCTTGGTATGATGATTTAACCCCTTGAGTATGATGATTTAACCCCTTAGTATGATGATTTAACCTTGAGTATGATGATTTAACCCCTTGGTATGATGACTTAACCCCTTAGGTATGATGATTAACCCCTTGAGTATGATGACTTAACCCCTTGAGTATGATGATTTAACCCTTGGTATGATGACTTAACCCTTGAGTATGATGATTTAATCCCTTGAGTATGATGATTTAACCCAGGTATATGATGATTTAACCCCTTGAGTATGATGATTTAACCCCTTGAGTATGATGACTTAACCCTTGAGTATGATGATTTAATCCCTGAGTATGATGATTTAACCCTTGAGTATGATGATTTAACCCCTTGAGTATGATGATTTAACCCTTGGTATGATGATTTAACCCCTTGAGTATGATGATTTAACCCTTGAGTATGATGATTTAACCTCTTGAGTATGATGATTTAACCCCTTGAGTATGATGACTTAACCCCTTGAGTATGATGATTTAACCTTGAGTATGATAACTTAACCCCTTGAGTATGATAACTTAACCCCTTGAGTATGATGATTTAACCCCTTGAGTATGATAACAACCCCTTGAGTATGATGATTTAACCCCTTGAGTATGATGACTTAACCCCTTGAGTATGATGATTTAACCCCTTGAGTATGATGATTAACCCCTTTACTATGGCATAACCCCTTTAGTAAGACCCTACCTGTCTTTACCTGTTTCTCAAGGCTAATTAACCATGGACAGGTAAATCAATTGAAATTTTACCCAAGTTATGTGAATATCGAAGCGTGACGGGCAATTAATTCACCTGAGCTACCTGACCTTTAACCGCGCCATACACACACAGACATACACACACGACATACACACACACACACACGTTAATTCATATACACACACATGCATACGTACATACACACACACACACACATGCATTCGTATATATGAGACAGTGAATAATATTGTAGACAGGTGTTATTGATACAGGTGTCAGGTGTAATTAAGAGATAACAGGTGATTAAGACATGGTGATTGAAGAACAGGTGTTTCATTGGTGGTGACTGAAGCACAGGTGTTTAATTAAGACAGTGAAGTAATTACAGGTGTGTGTGAGAGATCCACTTAGCCTATACACCTGGCATGTACACCTGTAAACATCCACACATTGAAATTACATACCTGCACAAAACAGATCCACACAAGATCACTAATTAAACCTGTATCACACCTGTAAAACACCTGTCAAGTAAAAACAGCGATACACAGGTATTTATTTGCACCTGTGATGAAGTTTAATCATTTGTTAATCTGAAAACAGGTGTCAGGTGTGTAAACTGGACGTACACACCTGTAAATAAGGACCTCACATGTGTTTTCTATACCTGTGATGGATTCTGTAACTTTGGAAATTTGTAAACAGGTGTAGAGTAAGTAAGTACACACACACACACACACACACACACACACACACACACACACACACACACACACACACCACACAACACACACACACACACACCTGTTAATCTACAACAGGTGTTCTCAGGTAATATAAAATACAAAACACGTGTCAATTATGCCACCTGTGTCAAAATGGCATAACAGATGTGTATAACTTACATGACACCTGGTTATATTAAACTTGCATGACAGTTCCATATGACACTTCGCTATGACACTATGCATGACAAATCTATATGACACTTAAATGACAGTTTCATATGACACTCACATATGACACCTCACTATGACACTATGCATTACAAATCTATATGACACTTAAATGACAGTTTCATATGACACTCACATATGACACCTCACTATGACACTATGCATTACAAATCTATATGACACTTAAATGACAGTTTCATATGACACTCACATATGACACCTCACTATGACACTAAGTATGACAAAATTATGACACTCATATGACACAGTGTATAGTAAATCTGCAGGAGATATATATGACACGTGACACTCCCTCATGACAGCCTCGTATGACACATGACACTATGACAGATTCAGAGAGAGAGAGAGAGAGAGAGAGAGAGAGAGAGAGAGAGAGAGAGAGAGAGAGAGAGAGAGAGAGAGAGAGAGAGAGACTTGAACACACACACACCTGAAAAGTACAGATAAAAAATAAGACAGACAGACAGACAGACACACACACACCTGACACACACCTGACAATATTTACCTTTAATTATCTCTGCTCGGGTTAGGTACTCCAAGAGGGTATAATGCTCAGTATATCGAGTATATTCTGGTATAATGCGTCTGTATGACTGTATATATGCTTGCTAGGATAGGTGTATAACTAAAATATCCTTCAAGGAATTCCTACATACGTTTTATCTATCCTAGGATGTCTATTGCCAGGACGAGTGTAAGTAAAATATCCTAGCAGTAATCCTAAACTCCTTTCTAACCTAGGATGTCTATTGCTAGGATGGCTGTGTAACTAAAATATCCTTCAAGAAACCTTACATAGATTTTCTCTCCCGTAGGATGTCTATAGGATGTCGAAGAGAATTCCTAGGATGATAGACCACATCCTGAACTTTAAAGCAATCCTACATACAACTCCTACGACCCTCCCCCAATATAATTAGGATGGTAGGACTCTTTTTAAATCCCAGATAAAGGATTATACCAATCCTACAGCTCTAAAGCCGAGCTAGGAGGGCGGAAGTAGTCCTAGCAGAAATAATACCAATCCTAGGGCTCTAAAGCCTAGCTAGGATGGTGGTAGTCCTAGCAAAAGTAGTCCTAGCTGAATTAATACCATTCTTGGGCTCTATATGATAGCTAGGATGGTAGAAGTAGTCCTAGCTGAATTAATACCATTCCTAGGGCTCTATATGATAGCTAGGATGGTAGAAGTAGTCTTAGCAGAAATAATACCAATCCTAGGGCTCTAAAGCCAAGCTAGGATGGCAGAAGTAGTCCTAGCAGAAGTACTGCCAATCCTAGTGCTCTAAAACACTAGCTAGGATGGCAGAAATAATCCTAGCAGAAATAATGTCAGTCCTAGGCCTCTATATGATAGCTAGGATGGTATGGGGTAACTCTACAATCAATAAATCCTATTTAAAACGAAATCCTAGAGATGTAACTTGAGTGAGGTGGGAATTAACTAGAACAGATCCTATTGAACCTATAAATAACATCCTAGACCACAAGACATACTAGTAAGATCCTAGAGAATGGGAGCTGGGAGTATCCTAGATCACTGTACACAACCTACTAACGTCCTTAGACCACAGAACACATCCTAGACCTCCAAAGCACATCCTAGATCACAAGATATCCTAGCAATACCCTAATGTCTATGTGTGTGAGAGCTGGGAGTATCCTGAATCACTGTACACTTCCTAGATCACAGAAGACATCCTAGACCCCAAGAACACGTCCTCAGAACACATCCTAGACTCCCCAAGACATCCTATCCTATCAAGACCCTAATATATGTGAGCTGAGAGTATCCTAAATCACTATACACTTCCTAGATCACAGAAAACATCCTCAAGAACACATCCTAGACCCTAAAAAACCACCCACCACCCCCCTCCTATCCTAGTTTGTATGAGCTAGGAATACCCCCAGCTAGGTATCACAACTATACCCTCTTAGATGTACCGTACCCAAGATTCTCCTTATTTTCATTGGTCTCGATCATGGTCATCACAGGACCCTCGAGACCATCCGGGCTCAACGGTCTCAGTAGTGATAATCCTCTTCGTGGTCTTCTTCCCGCCCTTCTTAGAGATCTTGGTAGTGGTAACGACTTCAGCCATGGTTGATGATGAAAGGGTAGTTGTTGGTAATTAGTGTTTGAGGAGGTCCCCTTTTCGTGGGTAATAAAACGTATGAACACTGGGATGGGGGGTCGATTTGGTCCACTAAATTTTTGGAGGAGAGGAACTGTTTCGGGATTCTTTAAATGCCTTTAAGAGCCTTTAGGACTAAGAGCCTTTAAGAGCCCTTGGGGAGCCTTTTCGGATGTTCGTTTACAATAGGGGGGGGAAGGGGGTGTTCTGGAGGACGTCCCGAAACCAGCACTAGTCCCGGTTACACTCAGGCGGCAAGAGACGGCGGTCGACTCAAAGGTAAGGCACTGGTCTTCCGAAAACGACTCACTGCGCTTGCCCGAGAGATGTGCCTATGGGAGGGAGGGCATGGGGAGGGTAGGGAGGTGTTGTGGGGGCGTGTGGGAGGAGGGAGACAGGGCATTGAGGGTAGCGGAGTTAAGAGTAAGGGGTAGGGAGGAGGGGTATTAGTAGGAAGGGGGTGGGTATAGACGGGGGTAGGAGAGAGGGGAGGAGGGGTAGAGGAGGTGGCCCTTGTCGCAGTCTCGAGCAAAATGCCCATGCACCTTCGATTCCTCCGTCACACACACACACACACACACACACACACACACACAACGAAGAAATCACCCCCAGCCATCACCTAACACAATCCAATCCCATTCAAACACCTAATCACCAAATCACCCAATTACCAATCGTCCATCATAATCCAAACGACCCCAATGTTGGCAACCCTTCCTAACCCATAATCCCCCGCGCTAAAACCTCGCCCTGTGATTGGTCGAGGTGAGAGATGTTGGCAGGCCTGTCTCGCCAACCCTTGGGTAGATCTCGGGCTGTGATTGGTCGAGAGGGAGGCACAGGACAGGCGGTCATTGGTTGAAAGGTTGATGATGGTCGCTTAATATAGATAGAAGAACAGTGGAGGTTGGTGTGTGTGTGTGTGTGTGTGTGTGTGTGTGTGTGTGTGTGTGTGTGTGTGTGTGAGCATGAGAAATTAACCCCTTGAGTATGATAGCAACCCCTTAGTATGATGACTCAACCTTGAGTATGATAACTTAACCCCTTGAGTGTATGATGACTCAACCCCTTGAGTATAATGCTTAACCCCTTGAGTATGATGACTTAACCCTTGAGTATGATGATTTAACCCCTGAGTATGATGACTTAACCCAGTATGATAACAACCCCTGGTATGATGACTCAACCCCTTGAGTATGATAACAACCCCTTGATATGATGACTTAACTTGAGTATGATGATTTAACCCGAGTATGATGACTTAACCCCTTGAGTATGATGACAACCCCTTGAGGTATGATGACTTAACCCCTTGGTATGATAACAACCCTTGAGTATGATGACTTAACCCCTTGGTATGATGATTAACCCCTTGAGTATGATATAGCAACCCCTTGAGTATAACTTAACCCCTTGAGTATGATGACTTAATCCCTTGAGTATGATGACTTAACCCAATTATGATAACTTAACCCCTTGGTATGATAACAACCTTGAGTATGATGACTTAACCCCTTGAGTATGATAACTTAACCCCTTGAGTATGATAACTTAACCCTTGAGTATGATGACTTAACCCCTTGGTATGATAACCAACCCCAGGTATGATAACAACGCCTGGTATGATAACAACCCCTTGAGTATGATGACTTAACCCCTTGAGTATGATGACAACCCTTGAGTATGATAACCTTGAGGTATGATAACTTAACCCTTGAGTATGATGATTTAACCCTTGGTATGATAACCTTGCCAAGGTATGATGACAACCCCTTGAGTATGATAACTTAACCCTTGAGTATGATAACAGCCTTGAGTATGATGAACCGGTATGATAACAACCCCTGGTATGATGACTTAACCCCTTGAGTATGATGATTTAACCCCTTGAGTATGATAACTTAACCCCTTGAGTATGATGACTTAACCCCTTGAGTATGATGACTTAACCCCTTGAGTATGATAACTTAACCCCTTGAGTATGATGACTTAACCCCTTGAGTTTGATAACTTAACCCCTTAAGTATGATAACTTAACCCCTTGAGTATGATAACTTAACCCCTTGAGTATGATAACTTAACCCCTTGAGTATGATGACTTAACCCCTTGAGTATGATAACTTAACCCCTTGAGTATGATGACTTAACCCATTGAGTATGATGACTTAACCCCTTGAGCATGATAACTTAACCCCTTGAGTATGATGACTTAACCCCTTGAGTATAACTTAACCCCTTGAGTATGATGACTTAACCCCTTGAGTATGATGATTTAACCCCTTGAGTATGATGACTTAACCCCTTGAGTATGATGATTTAACCCCTTGTAAATTGTAAATAAAACACCAATTATTTACAAACTTAAAACTCTCTCATTAAGTTACACGTCGTCAAAAAAAACATGAAAATGTAAATTGTAAAAAAAAATTTATTTCCTTCACGTTTATGTAAATTAGAACAACTTACTTGTAAATATGTAAAATAAATACTTACGCCCCCCACGATATCACATCATCTTACCTGTAAATGAAAAAATGTAAATTAGTATTCAGAAACGTAACTGAGTGGGACCATCTCACCTGTAAATGAGAAAATATTGTAAATTCACCAAAAAATAATAATTTACAGTCATTTCACCTGTAAATGAGACAAAATATTTATAGTTTTGTAAATAAAATTGTAAATTAGAATAAAAATAGTAATTTAAACATCACATCTGTAAATTAATCTGAAAACACTTAAATTATACAACACATTTACACACACACACACACACACAAACACACTCCCACCCTCCACCACCCACAAACACCCACCCTCACCACCCACACAAACACCCCACCCTCACCACCCCAAACACCCCACCTCACCACCCCAAACACCCACCCTCACCACCCACAAACACACACCCTCACCACCACAAACACACACCCTCACCACCCACAAACATACCCACCTCACCACCCCACAAACACACACCCTCCACCACCCACAAACACACACCCCTCCCACCACCCACAAACACCACCCCTCCTACACCCACAAGCCACACCCTCACCACCCCCAAACACCCACCCTCACCACCCTGACACACCCTCCACCACCCACAAACACACACCTCACCACCCACAAACACACACCCTCACCACCCTGAAACACACACCCTCCCCACCCACAAACACACACCCTCCCACCACCCTGAAACACACACCCTCCACACCCACAAGCACACACCACCCCACAAACACCCCACCCTCACCACCCACAAACACCCCACCCTCACCACCCACAAACACCCACCCTCACCACCCCACAAACACCCACCCTCCACCACCCCACAAGCCACACACCCCTCCACCACCTACAAGCACACACCCTCACCACCCACAAACACCCCACCCCTCACCACCACCCCTAAACCCCACCCCTCACCACCCACAAACACCACCCTCTACCTAAACACACACACCCTCCCACCACCCACAAACACACACCCTCACCACCCACAAACACACACCCTCACCACCCACAAACACACACCCTCACCACCCACAAACACCCACCCTCACCACCCACAAACACACCCACAAAACCTCACCTCATTACTCATTTCAGCTTTCTCATCAACGCCCTCATACGATTCGAAAAGGGCTGCCGTGTAGGGAGCCAGTGTACTGAGGTCCTCTTGTTCAGCCATCGTTTTAGGAAGTTTCGAACCAGTGTCGTTGTTTTTGTCGATTGAAACAGTGATCCTTTGAGCCAGTGAACTTGTGTCGAACCTGTGAACTTTTTTTTTGTCGATTGAAACAGTGATCCTTTGAGCCAGTGAACTTGTGTCGAACCTGTGAACTTTTTTTTTGTCGATTGAAACAGTGATCCTTTGAGCCAGTGAACTTGTGTCGAACCTGTGAACTTTTTTTTGTCTATCGAATCAGTGATCCTTTGAGCCAGTGAACTAGTGGAACAGTGAGTTATTGACCCAGTGAACTTGTGTCGAACCTGTGAACTCTTTTTGTCTATTGAAACAGTGATCCTTTGAACCACTGAGCTATTGGAACAGTGATTTATTGAATCAGTTTCGAACCTGTGAACTATTGTTTCCTTTTGAGCCACTGAGCCATTAATACAGTGAGTTATTGAGCCAGTTTCGAACCATTGTTCTTATTTTGGTCTATCGAATCAGTGATCCTTTGAACCACTGAGCTATTGGAAGAGTGAGTTATTGAATCAGTCTCGAACCTGTGACCCCAACTTTCCACCAGAGACGAAACCCCATCTTTCCACACACCTAACACACCTTAACACACCTGTACACACCTTTCCACCAGAGACAAAACCCCATCTTTCCACACACCTAACACACCTTAACACACCTGTACACACCTTTCCACCAGAGACAAAACCCCATCTTTCCACACACCTTAACACACCTTAACACACCTGTACACACCTTACCACCAGAGACAAAACTCCATCTTTCCACACACCTTAACACACCTTAACACACCTGTACACACCTTTCCACCAGAGACAAAACCCCATCTTTCCACACACCTAACACACCTTAACACACCTGTACACACCTTTCCACCAGAGACAAGACCCCATCTTTCCACACACCTAACACACCTTAACACACCTGTACACACCTTTCCACCAGAGACAAGACCCCATCTTTCCACACACCTAACACACCTTAACACACCTTTCCACCAGAG